TAGTGGTCCAGATAATGATAAGCCTGATTTTAAATCGCTTCAAATTTTGCAATGAGTGATGGCAGTAATAGACTCTTCATCATGGGACATATACGGAGTTCATTGCAAAATGATCATCGATACAGGAGCCAATGTTACCTTCATCCGAAAAGATCTGGCTCAACAATTCGAAGGTAAACTCATCTGGAAACATCCCTGTGTTATCTTTCATACTGCGTCCGGAGATAAAATAGACATTGCCGGAAAATTAAGCTTTGGCATCATGTTTGGAAATGATTATACCATCAAACGGCATATATAGCAAATATTACAGGACCTTGCATACAAAACCCTATTCGGAATTAATGATGAAAGAGTGAAATCTGCTTACCAAGTCATAGCTCAAGACCATATCAAAGTACCAGGAAAAATGAAGCAAACTTTTGATTTCAATGATCCATAAACGAAAGCAGAAATTTCTGGTGCGGCATAATGGAATATCCTAATAACTTCGAAAATTCTAAAGGAGTACTAGTAGCCTCGGCAATCGTCAACTTATCGAGGATCGTCATCCCGATGAGAGTTTCCAATGTAACTGACAAGGCGAGACTTATTAGGAAATGTGAAGTGAATTCAGCATGGACTTTCCAGCGTTAAACGAAACATCCGTGTCTTCAGAGAGCATTATATCAGCGTTATTGCAGAATGCACAATTAAGTGATGAACCTAGAGTGCTGCCGAACGTGTCATTCAAGAATTTCACAATATTTTCTCTCGCTCATCTTCTTACGTGAGTCGAACAAGTTTCACACAGCACAGAATTGATACAGGGGATCGTCCACCAGTCAAGCAACATCCTATCAACCTATTTCTAAACAGGAAGAAGAGTAAAACTTCCAAAGGGCATGCAAGAAAGCGATGTTATCGAGTCTTTAGAAAATCCTTGGGCGTCTCTCATCATCCTGGTCAAAAAGAAAGATTGTTCAACAAGGTTTTGCGTTAATTATCGTTGGTTGAAAGAGGTTACGAAGAAAGACAGATCGCCTCTTCTTAGGATTGACGACATTCTGGACACTCTTTCTCGAAGGAAGTGGTTTTCGACGCTTGATTTAAAGAGTCAATATTGGAGGCTAGAGATACAACTTGATGAACGAATAAAAACGGCATACACTACCGTATAAGATTTTTGCATTTCAAGGTGGTGATGCCGTTTGGATTATGTAATGCGCCAGCAACGTTCGACGCCTTATGAAGACCGTGCTTAGAGGTCTTTCCTACGAATCCTGTCTGATAATAGATGTCACCATCATCATCGCCGGGAAAACTTGAAGAGCATTTAAAAATTCTTAGAAAGGAGTATCAGAAACTGAAAGATTCCAATGTAAAATTACGTCTTGCCAAATGTAAACTGTTTAAATGGTAACTATTCAGAATCAGTGGGCTACAGCAAGAGTATACCCATAATTCATGGAGTCTTCAAATAAAGAAGCTATCCGGCAGAACATTTCGAACTATAGTCGTACAACAATATTGTGCTTTCTGTGGCTCACTCGATATTCGAAACGACATCTTGTACCCTAAGTTCGAATTTCATCATGGAAAGCCATTCCGATGGCAGCTGATACTTCCAATATCCCGAATCACAGATGCCCTTAGAGAATTACACAGAAGTCCAATAGGAGGTCACTCCGGTATAATGAAGATTTTGCATAGAATTCGAGAGTGCTTCTATTGGAGTAATGCAAGGATCCGATGGCAGCTGATACTTCCTATATGCCCATAGAGAATTACACAGAAGTCCAACAGGAGGCCACTTCGGGATAAGGAAGATTTTGCATAGAATTCGAGAGCGCTTCTACTGGAGTAATGCAAGGACCGACGCGCAAAAGTGGTGCCAATTTTAAAATGCTTGTGCGGATCGGAAAGGACCGAAGATACGCGGCCGAGGGAAGCTGCAAAGTTGCAATCTAGGAACGCCTTTTAAAGGTATCGCATATGACATTCTGGGACCTCTGCAGCAAACTGCTTATGACAACAAATACATCTGGTTGTACTTTCATTACTTCACCAAGTGGCCTGAAGCGTAACTTATTCCTGACCAAGACACTGTGACACTAGCATGCGTAATGATTAGATTTCCAGTTTCTGAATTGCCTCTTCAGTTACATTCCGATCAAGGAAGAAATTTTACCTCGGCTGTAAAGACCTCCGTAAGCTACTCGGCATAGAGAAAACCCAAACATCGCCTTTACATCCCCAGTCAGATGGCATGGTAGAGAGGTTTAATAGAACCATCCTTAATAATATCTTCCTGGCGGTTTTCAGAAACCAGATAGACTGAGTTAGCCTTTTTTTACTGGCCTACCGCAGTGCTGTTTGAACTGATACATAATTTTGCACGAAAGCGGGTCAACTTGGCGGTGAAGAAGATGAAGACCCGATACGACGCAATAGCTACAGGACAGCGATTCGAAGAAGATGACAAGGTGTGGATGTCGAACCGATTTGACGGAAATGACTCTCTTCTAAACTACACTCACCTTGGGATGGTCCTTACACAGTACTAAATAGACTGAACAACGTAGTAGTTAGGATCCGTAAGTCATCGAATGTAAGTATGGCTTCTTGTCCAGGGATTGTTCTGACCGGGACTCACAGTCCTTGGGAAAAGGGCACTGTAACGAAGTTTATGTACACGGTGTTTCATAGATCATGGGACAAACTGGGAGGGGGTGGAGCGTACTAAAACATTCATTTTTTATAGGAATGTAGGGTCTAAAGTTACGGGTTAAGGCAGGAACCCCCCCAAAAAAAGACGACAGAGGAAAATGTGTTTATGTACAAAATCAACGCAAAGTGCTTCTTTGTAGCAATACAGTATTCACAATAAATGTTCAAAATTGCGACCACCAGCAGTAATACATGCTTGGTAACATCACAGAAGGGATTAACGAACATTTTGAAAACGACAGGCATTTCGCGCACGCTTGCAGCCGCAATGGATAGTCGTGCAACGAGGTCCTCCAAAGAATCAACGGGATTCTCGTAAATGATGCTCTTTAGATGGCCCCATAAAAAATCCAAGCTAGATAAATCTGGCGAACGGGATGGCCATCGAACGAGTCCACCACTGCCCATCCATCGGCCCGAAAAGTCCCATCCAAGTAATTGGGAACCCGCACGTGGTTATGGGCTGGTGCACCATCATGATGGAACCAGACGCGATCCCGAACGACAGCCGGAACATGCTGCAGCAATTCCGGTAGTACCTCTTGCAGAAAAATATGATAACATAAGCCATTTGTACGTGCAGGTAAGAGGTATGGGCCTATGATAGTCGTTAACTATACCGCCTACACATTCACGGAGAAGCGGGTTTGGAATGCATGTGGACGTGTGCCGTGGGGATTATGAGTTGCCCACACGTACATGTTGTGGCTATTGAAGATGCCGTGCTGTGAGAAAGTTGCCTCGTCTGTGAATAGCATATCCGATGGGAAATCCTCCTGCGCCGCACACTGCTGCAAGAAACAATGACAGAAATGAAGAGGGTAATCTGTCTCTTGCAAGTCTTGGACTCTCTGCAAATGCTATGGGTGCAAACCATTTTCATGCAATACTCTCCAAACGGTGGAATGACTTAGCTGCAGACGACGTGCAATAGCTTTTGTATTTGTCTGAGGTGATTAATGCACAATGTTCAAGATGGTTTCTTCAATGCGAGGTTGTTGTGCACCTCTTCCACTCCTAGTGTCAGAGGTGGCTTCAAATGACCCGTTTTCACACAGATACTGATGCAGCTCGAACATTGTGTGATTCGGCATACGCCTGTTCGGAAACCGTTGATGGTACAACCGTAGCGCTGCTCTGCCGTTCCCATTAGTAGCACCATACATGAGATGCATATCAGCTTTTTCCATGTGCGTAAACTCACCCATCACGCTGGACATCAGAGTTGCGAATGATCCTCTGATGCATCGGATCGTGGTTTGTCCGGCTCACTACCGCCCTCTACCGCCAATCACAGCTGTAGTTCCTATGACTGTCAGTGTTCCCTTTCTTGAACATTGCTGCAAAGAAGTACTTTGCGTTGATTTTGTACATAAACACATTTTCCTCTCGCGTCGTTTTTTCGTGTTCCGGCCTTAACCGGCACTTTAGACCCTATATTCCTATACAGAAAATGCATGTTTTAGTACGTTCCTCCACCCCTCCAAGTTTGTCCAATGATCTAAGAAATACCCTGTATATGTAAATAAATTTAGTGAAATTATATGTGATATTGCAGTATTTTTTTGTATGATGCAGCATGAAAAATCTAAAGAAGCGAAGCTTTACCGGAAAAGTAAGAATACAAGGGCAATCACAAGGGAATACAAGAGATATCGCCAAACTGGCGTTCGTCATTTGGAAATATTTTGGTCCGGTCCCTGTATAACTGTAATGGTTAACGTAATTGACTATTGTAACCGTATGCGACCTAAGATCTAACTTCAACCAAACATTTCTTCCAGTAATTTCAAGAAATGGAACTTACTAGAGATTTCTCGGTGCCGAGAGAGACCGAAGACTGAACATCTGCTCCCAATTGTTAGTTCAAAGCTGAATTCCGAGCATTGAAATATCCGTGAACGCTTGGCCTTTTAGATGCGCTTTGCAGTGCGTTGTGTTTAATGTTCTTAGGAGTTTGATGTGTAGCTACTGACTGTATTCTGTGAGTCTGTGAAGAGCTGCACGACTAATTTCGGCTCGCAATAACATTTTTTTTCTTAATATTAATATATTTTCTATACAATGTTTTTCTTAACAGCAATATGATGATGCTTTAGCGTCATATGCTTTTCTAAAGCGTGCTAATATTTCGCACACTTTTCCAAAGAAGTGTCTATGTTTTTTTAATAACATGCTTTCTAAGACCTGTTTAACATGTTTTCTTAATAACAGGTTTGAGATATGTTTTCTTAGTAACATATTTTTAAAAGGAATGTTTAATATGCTTTTTAATAACATGTTTTCCAAGGCACGTTTTAATGTTTTTTAATAGCATGCTTTCTGAGACATGTTTAACATGCTTCTTTAATAATATGTTTTCTTAAAAATAAGTTTCTTAACATGTATTATCATAAAATATCACTTCACATATATGTTATTAATTTAAAAACATGCACAATATTCTGCATTTTCTTTCTTAACGGAGCCTTATTTTTCTTTTTCAGATAAACATTAAAGAATTTCTTTTAACATATCCATGTTCATCTTCTTCATATCAAGGTCGGTAAGTACAGATTTTAAATTTCTTATCAACTCTCTTGAACACCATTTTGATGATGGTTTATGTCAGCAATTTTCAGGAAAAAAACCTGAAATGAGAAATAAAAATTAAGAGATTTTACATTAGAAATTCTCGGTTACAATACATACATCATTTCTACAAAATCAAATAAAAAAATCAAAATTAATTAAATGCTATAATTATGCTAAATAAAGTGCAATCTAATGACTGAAAAACGTGACTAGAGGATATTTAAAACACTTTATTCTGCTTTTCAGAATTTGCTTGGAAATGTATGAAAGCATTGAAGTTAAATAAAAAGCTGAATTTATTTTTGGATATAATTAAGTGGTGGTAGCACTTCAAATCCTCCACGATGCTAAAAATATCAATAAATAAAATGAAGTATTTATTGATCTTTAGCCTATTTGAACATTTATATTTTCTTTAACCGCATCATAGATGACTTTGTATTCTTTGATTAACAGAAATGGAAAAGAATACTTTCTAGCAAGAAACTTCTATTCAGAACAAATGAAGTTTTATAAACTCATTTTTGGTCTGTCTTTGGATATATATAATAAATCTGGAGTAAAATTCTTGAATCTAATTCCCGCATCCTTGGCACTATATGTATTTATTAGTGATGAAGTTCGTGATGTTCAAGATGAAATTTCAACGCAACTGAGATATTTACAAATCTCAAGTTAGTTTAAATTAAGTCTTCATAAGTTAATTTTGATGATTTAGCTGTCGAAAATGTTTGAAATTACTCAGTACCTTCTGTACACACTGAACCAGATGGCGACAATTTGGGAACCAACTCTGAAGTACTAAATATCAAGATAATTTTAACATTCATTTAATGATAACGTTTCATATAATCTTATTTCAGATAGCATTTTAACATGCTTACAAAATTATTTGTCATAAAATTTGGAAAACATATGAGAAAAATGGATATTTTCAGTTCATACGCCAAACAATTCTCTATTGAAAAATACAAGCACCAACTTGATTCTACCAACGCGAAAAATACTTTTGTCATCAAATCATTTATATTGCTATAAATATTTTACAAATATAATAAATATTTCTCTCTAGTTATTTATTTCGATAAACAAATAACGAAATAGAATGCCACAATTTATCGCCAACACTCAGTTTAAAAACAAGAACACTATTTAAACTATAAAAACAGTATATTTAATTTACGTCGAAAATAAACAATATTTATAGATTTACCTTTCTGTAAAAAACTGTTTCACACTTCTTGTCATATACCAGAAATGATGTTAAATAAAAACATATAAACTATTTTTAGAGTTTAAAAGGAAAACTAAGACAAAATCAATAAAACGTTGCAAGCTGCGGATTCACTGATGTCTCTTAAAATAGTTACTCCTGATAAGCAAAAAGATATTATTAATTTATTATAAAAATTGACTACTTGCAGTACAAGAAGCCGCTGGAAATAGCTCAAGGAGATGCGTAGATTAGGCTATTTCTCTTTAGCGTCTTAAAAATAGTCAATTCTAAAAATTACAAGCAGAGTAAACGCTAAAACGCAATTCATCTAACCGCTATATCTAAGAGTTGATTCAGAACTCCCTAGTTCTCGGTTCCCTAGTTCTCCCTAGGTTTGGAAGCTTCTTTAAGAATCCATTGCAGGGCTTCAAAAATGCGTTTTCCCAAATCTTCCAAAAAGTCACCAAATTGGCGAGAAATCTTAAAATGTCGCCAGCTTGGCTTAACAAAATTATTTCTAAGGCTTGTTAGGATCTAATTGGCCCATATTTCGCGTTTTTTCAAAATTCAAATGCTGTTGCTCTCCGAAACGAATGATTTATAATCATTTACAATGTACAAATACTTATATACAAAGCATATGGCCACAAATTCGATTAAACACAAAATAAAATCCAAAATTATCATCCTAAAGCCAATAAATAAATAAGTAAGTAAACCAATATACAGCAACACAGAAAAACCGACATAAAATGCGGTCAAAAAGGCTTTAATTATTTACAAATATTAAAAAAATAGATCGAACAATTAACTTCATTCCCATGGATAATCGAATCTTGAACTAATTAACAGCGGCAAATATGCAGGAGCGTGGGATACAAACCCTCACTGAGAATCACGAAGCCCATCACGAATCGATCAGATATTCTCTTTCTCTTTACTTATCAATAATATAGCTTTATTTAGAAATGTGAAAACTTCATAATCTTTCAAAGAAGCGTACCGAGAAGGAAAAGCCATATATAATTCGCTGCGCCATTCCAACCGGGGTAGCTGTTAGCGACGCTGACCGCCGTACCGAAGGACACGGGTTCGGATCTCGGAGAAGGCATGGGTGTTCGTAAATGTATAGTGTCTGTGCGGCATGGAAGCACTATAACTATGTGGAGGGCCGAAAGTCATCTCGAGTGGCTGTTGGTAGGGAAAGCGGGTGTGAGAACCCAGGACCCATCTTACCCCGGGATGTTGTTCTTAAACATTGTGGGTGGAAAAGAGCAAAGTCGTTTTATCACCTGTAATGTTTCCCAAGGCTGTTGCCAACGACAGGCGTAGTCTTACCTCCTTGCCAAAATGAATGTCATGGGTTTGCTTTGATATCAAAGAAGCGAGATTAGTCACAATAACAACAGCAATAATGTCATGCCAAATTACAAAACATAATTAATGATTTTTTTACAGTCTTTTATTCAAATAATGATTGTAAACAATTGAAATTTTCTTAACGGATCAAAACCTAATCCATACATAATAGTCCAAAAATATCCCATTTAGTGTAAGCTAAATTTCTAATTTTTCGACGAAAATTCATGCTTTTATGGGTCCATAAGCTTAACCTTTCAAATATAATAAAGGAATGTAAGTTAGATATTTTTTTCCCTTTTTCTGTGAAAAAAAATATTCCATTCCCTAGTAGCTGTTGTACTGCTTGACGCATACATATATTTCTTAACTGGTATCTTCAGAAAGCATCAAAGATCCAGTCAGTGAACTGGAACTCCGTTTTCTGAAAATCATTCATAGAGGCATTTAATATGTATACTCAACAAATGCTTTGTAAAAATTATTCTGTTTGCCAACAGTGTGTTCCACTGTTTGGTAAAAAAGTAATGATATAAGTTCTCGTATGACTAAGTGTTCAGTATATATAAGCATCACAGCATGTGCTGCTTTCATGAGCCTATAGAAGCTTTTCAGACAGCTGTTTGAATTCTTTCAGAATGAGTATTTATCAGTACAGTCAAAACTAAATTTGTTGAAATGATAAATTTCCAGGCAGCATTCTACGATATTTTACTTTTACACCACTTCGAGAGCTCAGACAAGGTTTTAAAGAACCTTTCGATTTCTTTTATGCATTTTAAATCAGAACGAGAACCTACATTAACCTTATACTGAAGAAAAATGTCTTTTCTGTTTCTACGTCATGATGAATGTGAAAAAATGGAAAGTACTTTAATGATGTTTCACACGAAGAGTAATTATGTAGAGAAAGTATTAATAATAGAGTAATTATGTCAGTGATTTTGACATTCTCTTATCTCTAAAAGTAGATCTCTGGCGCTAATCTTTCTCATTACTTTAAAACTAGTTACAGCACAATATAAGTGATTTAATATTATGCGTGTCTGTCTTGCAGAACTGCCTTCTCTCACAAACATGATTGTTTTCATCTCCGGAATTCAGATAATTTCTTTATAAGTACTTTTAGTAGTTTAGTTTACTTTTCTAAGTTACACTGCACAACAAAGAAATCCCAGAAGAGCTCATGATGTAAATTTTCACGGGTATATTGTACCAGAGTTCCAAGACCGCCGCAAAACGGACAGAGCAATCAGTATTGCATTTACGCTACCTTTCTTCACGAGAACACGGCTGGATCAAATGATGAATATGCTTTTAGAACTCATTAGGTCATAGCCTGAGGACGCCGGCGTCTTTGGACTTTACTGGATCAGAGGACCTCAATTGATCAAAAGATGAGTAAGCTTCTGGACCTCACTAAATCAGGGGACGGTTAAGATTTGGACCAGAGGACCTCACTGGACCTCACTGGACCAGAGGATGAGTTGCCTTTTGGACCTCAGAAGATGAATAGGACTTTGGACCTTATAAGATGAAAGAATAAAAGGGCCAAAAGTTACTAAATCTAGGGCCAGTTATAAATCTGAAAAAGCAGTACCCTGAATAATGTGCATGGTAACTTAAAATTTGAAATTAACTCATATATGAAGTAAAATAAAAGATTGCTACTTAATTATTTATTAAGTTAATGCAACGGTGTTACCCCTGTTGGCTTTAAATTCATACAGCACCTTTAGACAGCGTAATTATTTATTAAATTATGTTATAAACCCATTAGAGTTCTAAAACGTACAAATGAGCAATAATTCCTATATGCAATATGCAACATATTTTTCACATATTTCACATATAAATAAATATCATGATCACATGTTCAAATCCTATTCAATGGTTTTTAATTATATAATTATGATATCTAAAATAATTTATTAATTTATTTTAAGATTTATTACTAATTTAAAATTTGTTTTAATGTATTTCATTAATTTAATATAACTAGTTGTATTAAACAGAGTAATTAAGGTAATAAAATATTTCCCTAATTATAAAGTTTTATTCTAAATAATAATGACTGCACATTAATTATTCCATATTGTTTTAGAAATTCAAGAGAAACTATTATACTACAAAGTCATTTGAACTCTCTAATATTAAAAGGACTTTCCTTTTAAGATTTTTTTTTTTTCTTCGCTTTTATCTACACCTAAGCATCACATTCCTACTGATTTTCCCTTCTACCAATGAATACAGGAGGGATATAATTGACAGGAAAAACAGTCTGATATTTTCTCCTGTAGTATTAAATAGCTTTTTCTGTAGCTTTTGAAGAACTATGCAAAAGTTTGCGAGATCTTCATACTGTGGGATACAAAAATCAATATCTTTCACTGTGGCTAACTCAGGATCTTGCAAAACGAAGAATTTTCGCTCTGCTATTTGGATAAATGGAGCTATCGCCGCTAGATGGCAGCACAGGTT